CGCGGCCGTCGGAGCTGCCGGCCGGCGACACGCGGGAGCTGCTGGAGGAGGTGGAGATGCAGATCGGCGACGTGAGTACCGGCGGGAGGGCGGGAGGGAGTCCCCTGAGGGCGGGCGCCTGCGGGGGCAGGGTGCCGTGCGGACGGGCGGGCGGGTACCGGCGACTCCCAACCTCTCTGCCGTTCCCCCAGGCCGCCTTCTCGCTGGCGAAGATCCTGGAGGCGACGTCTGCCGTGTCGGCGCAGGTGGAGGAGCTGGCCACCAAGTGCTCGGAGAACGCCCGGTTCCTCAGAACATGGCGGGACCTGCTGAGGGAGGGGTACGAGTCCCTCAAGCCCAGCGGCTGAGGCGCGAGGCGCCGCCCTGCCCCGCCGAGGGGCTGCCGTCCGGCCGGTTCCGTGGGGTTCTGTTTTAAAACGATTTTTTATTTAGGGAGTTCACGTGGATTTTTTTTTTGTTTGGTTTTTTTGTTTTGTTTTTCCCTGGGCAGCTCCCCGTGAGCCCGAAGCTCTGTCAGAAAGACTCGATGGCTCGCGTGGATGTTGTGTGTAAGTCGCTGGGTGAAATAACTTTGTTCAGGGAATCGGTTGTGACTTTTAGACTCTTCCGCTGCAGCTCAAGCGATCTCGTAGGCTAATTTATGCTAATCTGGTGGATGCAAAGTTAGTGTGTGCGGTACGCCTGGAACTCATTGCCGGCGGGAAGTGGTGTCCTGCCAGAGGCACTGCCAGCCCTCCTCCCCTCCTTTTCACCAGCTGTCACCAGCAGAAACCCTGCCAACTCCACAAAAACTTGCTGAACTCACTTCAGGTTTTCTCTCTGCACGCTTTTCCTTCCTGCTGAGGATGGGGTAATATACCAAGTTGTGGCTTACTTACGAGCTTTAAATAAGCCCCAAATCCCAAACTTTACTGTTTTTAGCAATATTGCAATATATTTCTATAAAGCTGCAGACTTTTCGCAAGTTGTTTGATTACTGCAAATGATTTTACACTATCTTTTCTTGTAGTAAAGTGCCTTATCGTATATCGTATATCTCTGCATGATAGAAATTTAACAGTGCTCTTTACTGATAGGATGGATTACATTGAACTGTAAGTAAAGGCTTCCATCAAGTTAGAAGAGAATCTGTGAAATGTATTCTCCCGTCTCTTGGGAGGGAAGTTAGAGCTTTTTCAGTATTTGGTCCTATTTTATATCTTTGCCTTAAGCAATTACTAGTTAATTGGTCTCAAGCTTACTGTTAACATAACCTTTTGGTCTGAAAGATAGCTAATCTGTAATAAATAGCTGTACTGAAACTCCTGTGCCTTTACCAGAGCAATGTGAAAAAAGTAATGCTGAAATGCAATGGGGGGCTGCAGGAGAACATGGCTGTACCATGATTTATTAGTCAGACTCGTTTTACTGGTGGAAGGACTTTTTTAAAAGACAAACTGTAGTTTTCTTATCAAAACAATAAAGATGTTACAAAAAAAATCTGGCATACTGAATATTCTGGTGTTACTCATAGGAAAAAAAGATGATATGGAATATATCTATAATCAACTTGAGTGCAAAACACAAGTAATGGTAAGGACAGGCATCCTTGCATATCTCCTCCAAAGCAGTTACAGTCCTTGTGAGGGCTTGGCCCCTCACAATACACAAGTTCTATTAAATTGAGGTTCTAATTGCTGCAGTTAAAGGCAATCCACGTGGCAGGATTTCACTTAGTTGTTTTTAATCCCACAGCCCAAAATGTTGCTAAGCGATTTTGAAAATAAGTCGTTTTGTTCAGCAGATAATATTTTATTTCAATAAAACATACAGTAGTGGAAACAAGATGCTTAACAATCTTCAATTTCAAGATAATCCAAAGTTCTGTAAACAGTTGAAGTGTGAGTCACACTTTTTAAATTCAACTTCTTACGCTGTTAAGAAGTTAAGTGCAAACATTGGAAGTGTCTTTTAACGTCATTTGAAAAAGCTTGAAATCATCAATGCAAAAGAAGTATTTCTTTTACCTTTGTGGACTCCCAGGCTATCGGTCTGTGAGCACAGTACTGAAAGAACTAGGGAAGCTGTAGTAATTCATGATGGAAAAGATTCTCTTTGGTAAGTGTATGTGAAGGAAGTATCTCTAGAAGATTGTTTCAGATGAGTTGTTTGTGTTTTTTTTAACCCTTGTAACACTGGGAAGTAAAATAATGCCCTAAAAGTGCTGAGTGGCTGTGCTCCTTAAACTATTTTAACTGTAATGCATCTTGTCAGATGTACAAGATGATTAAAATGTAGGTGTCATGACATATACTAAGTCTTCTATTTGGTCATCTCCCGTTATTCCATGGACAGAGATACACATCCTATGACTGAAATTTGCTGAATTCTGCAAGCTGTGGGGAGCTACTTATGGGAGCCCAGTAAGAAACAGTGAGGAAAAGAGCAGTGTCAAGTTGGGATACTCAGTCTGGTCTTTCCAGGGAAGGATGCTCTTCTGAAGGAGGAAACTTCCAGCAGGTACAGCTGGGGGACACTCAGTTTTTTGAGGAAAAAACCTTCCCTTCTCCCCCCCGCAGTTCTCTGGTTCTATCTGAATAGACCAATCATCACAATTTCAGGATTGTCTTTATGTGAGTGGAATAGTTGGTAATTTTTTAAGAGGAATAAAATTTTCACTTACTTGACTTTGACAAATATAATAAACTGGTCTAATTATGAAATGTAGATATTTTTCTTAAGTCTCTTACTCCCTAAAGACTTTAAGAGCTGATGCAGCCTAAATAGAGCCAGTCAGAAATTTTAAGGAGGGAAAAAAAATTCTTAATGAGGATACCGATTAAATCTTTAAAAAAATTCAACTGTCGAAATGGAGAATTTTTTTTAAAAAGATTTAATGAAAAAAATAAATCCTTTTTTCCCTCAAAGACAGATGATTTTGAAACATTCTGCATTCTGGGTGAGATATTTTAAATAATAACTCATTTTTTTTCCCACACTCCTAGCTTCTGGGAGGAAAAAAAAATAAAATCAAACAACTGACTTCTCATCGTGATCTGGGATAAGTTGTCAAAATGCCAGGTACCGCTGTGAGTTGGTAAAATTATGATTGTGTCAGTTCTACCTGCAAACAGACACGCTGCTCCCTCTTCCTCCTGCTTTGGGTCAGGTGAGCCCGGGTGTCATACGTACCTCCCTCAGTTCTCCTCGTTGCTGTAAAGCAGCAAGCCCACAGCTGTGAAGCTAACAGTGCGGATGCCACCGTGAAGATTCAAAATGTATTTATTTAGGTGCATGAGTTTAGTCTCGTTGACTGTGTAGTCACCGAAGCGTCAGAGGAGTCTGTACAAAGCACAGGCTTCGTTAGCTTTGGTGTGATTTCGTGCACTGGCCACATCTCTACCCAAATGAATGACGGACCGTACGTTTTCTGATTGCCTTTACCTCTTTTGGATCTTCTCTGTCTGTAATTATACCAAACCTGGTGAATCATTTCCTTGAAAGGTCGTGTAGTCAGAGTGTAGAGAAGAGGATTCAAAGCGCTGTTTATTGGCAGTATAAAAATCACCACCCAAGAAGTTATGGTACCTTGGGGAGGGAAAAAGAAAGGCAGCTGTAACATTCACTCCAGCTTTTGTACCCATTAATTAATACAAGCACTTGGTGCCTACGCAGCCCAGCGAGAGGGGGTCAGGCACTCCTGGGCTGAGTTCATGTCACAACAGGGGCTTTTCTTTTTCTTCTCACTGTTATGCTTGCACTGTTCTCGTACCCCTCTCTCTGTTTCCAGGACTCCCTGCAAAACTAGACATTTTTTACTCTCCCAGTAGTTCCATTTCTCTCTCTTTGCTGTACCATAGCTCTCTATTAGCCCTGGCACACTTCTTATTCTGGCTGAGCTCCATTTCCTTGCCCCAAAATGTTTTGTTTCTGCTTTTCTCCCTGTCTTTTCCTGTGATCTCTGTTCCCCATCCTCTTCCTGTGACTACTGACATCCAACCCTAATGATGTCCTAACAATGTCCTTCTGCAGAGCTATATCCTCTAGTCCCTGTATCCCCGCAGAGGCTGGTTTTCCTACGTCCTACCTATTTCCTTCTTGCCCTGTTGGAACAACTTCTGTGTTCACACTGTCTTCCTTTCTGGAGATTTCCTGCTCTCCTGCCTGTACCACAGTCTGTGCATTTTTCCAGCACCCCCTTCTCATCCTTACTCTTTGGGCAGTAAGTCAGCCTGTTACCTGAGGGGCAGGCAGAGAAGGGACAGGATTAAAGTACTGAAGGATGTTAGCGGGTGCCCTCTGTTGCGTTGTTTGATTTCTAAAACAATTATAGTACTGTTCCAAAAGCCACAGAAAAAGCTTAATTTGCTCTCTCTTTCCCCACGGCTTCTCTGTCTTTATGACTTTGTTGTAATATCAATACATTCCCGCTGGTGCCCGTAACATTGTCTACAGTTTGGGAAACAAGCAGATGCTTAGTTCCAAAGCTGTCACAGTGTATCCCCAAGGAAAAATAAATGCTATCAAATGGGGTTTAAAACTTCAGTAAACTTAGGCAGCTCTCCGTGATAACACAGACAGTGGGATTGAGATGACATAGACAGTGAGACCAAGTGCACCCTCAGCAAGTTTGCCGACACCACCAAGCTCTGAGTGGTGCAGTCAACACACCTGAGGGAGGGGATGCCATCCAGAAGGAGCTGGACAAGCTCAAGAAGTGGGCCCATGTGAACCTTCTAAGGTTCAACAAGGCCAAGTGCAAGGTCCTGCACCTGGGTTGGGTCAACCTTCAGTATCAATACAGGCTGAGGAATGAAGGGGTTGAAAGCAGCCCTGAGGAGAAGGACTTGTGGGTACTGGTAGATAAAAAGCTGGACATGAGCCAACAATGTGCACTCAGTGACCAGAAAACCAATTCTATCCTGAGCTGTGTCGAAAGAAGCATGGCCAGCAGGGGAACGGAGATGATTCTGCCCCTCTGCTCTGGTGAAATCCTACCCGTGGTACTGTGTCCGGCTCTGGAGCACAAGAAGGACATGGACCTGTTGGATTGGGTCCAAAGGAGGGCCACGAAGATGATCAGAGGGCTGGAGCACCTCTCCTATGAGGACAGGTTGGGAGAGTTGGGGTTGTTCAGCTTGGAGAAAAGAAGGCTCCGGGGAGAACTTATTGTGGCCTTCCGGTACTTTAAGGGGGCTTATAAGAAAGATGGGGACAAAATTTTGCAGGGCCTGTTGGGATAGGACAAGGGCTAATGGTTTTAAACTAGAAGAGGGAAGATTTAGACTAGAATCAGGAAGATGTTTTTTACACTGAGGGAGGTGAAACACTGGCACAGGCTGCCCAGAGAGGTGGTAGATGCCCCATCCCTGGAAATGCTCCAAGTCAATGCTCCCGTTGGACGGGGCTCTGAGCAACCTGATCTGGTTGAAGATGTCCCTGCTTATTGCAGGGGGATTGGACCAGGTGACCTTTTGACATCCCTTCCCAAATTATTCTATGATTCTATAATGTATTTAACTTTATGAAATGAGTAATTACTGTTTAATCTGGTTTATCTAATGCAGAACATGCATTTGCTGAATAAAAAATAAGGTGCAATTTTTAGTCTTTTAGGTTAGGCTGTTACCAAATGCTTATATTTCATAGCATAAAGAAGGTAAGCACAGCTTTATCTAACTTAATGTATTGAACTGTAAGTTCATAAAATAAAGTTATTTTGGGGAAAGAATTGTATTATTAAATCAAGATAGGGAACACTGTATTGTCCTGAGCCTTATTTAGGCAACAAAACCAACAAAACTCAAGATGAGAAAAGCCAATGCAATTCGGCCTCTGTTTTCAAATACATTTTGTACATTTTATAGATATTCTATAAAGACAGACTTGAAAGATTGGAATTTTGAGGTTTGTTTTGGCTGACTAAAAGGTGACCACTCTTTGATTATAGTAATATAGCTCAATGCAGTAGTAAAACTATATAGTTCATTATATCATGTGAACATATATATAGATATGTAACATAAAGTTTGTTATGCTAATATAGTTCAATATATTCAATTATTTTCTCCTAAAGTAGAAACAATGCTCTTCATAGAGACACAGTTGAAACAGCATCACAAAAGAAAGGACATACCTGGTATTTCCACTTGGAGTAGAGAAAGGAGTTTCAAAATAAAAATGGGTATCCAACATAGTGCATCAGTAAACACAATGAAGAAAAAACGTTTAGCAAGGATCATCTCTTTTTTAATATGATTCCGAATTTCAGTAGCTGTAATAGCTGTTTGGTGAACACTGTAGAACATACTGCCATAGGAAAACACAATGATGATAAAGGCTGCCAAGTTTACACCTGTTTAAGAAGTTGAAATGCGTTATAATTTAAGAGCAGAATGGCAATTTCACATCACCTATTTGCAGGCTGGGTAGTAAAGAAAAATGTTTCAGCTAAACTGCTGGTCCCATAGAATTAAGTGGCCAGAAGATTTGAGTCTGTATTCACTTGAACACTGAATTTTCTCCTGTACTCAGGTATATATTTAATTCGTCATCAACTGATAAATGGCTGCCACATGATCCAGACCATGTAGTTCTCCTCTGGCCTTACTATTGCTCTGCTTCCCTGACAAAGTCTGTTCATTCAGGGACTTAATGGTCATTAATTTCTTTTTACTTTTTCAGCCCTTCATGCATCAAATATAGTGAAATATTCAGGCTGGAAGAAGTCTGTAAGTCCTTACTGGAGCATCTAAATATGAGGTGTGAATATCACAGCAAAACTTATTTGGGTGAAAATTAAGTTCATTTGGAGCTCTAATTGTATATAAAGAAGAAATGCAACTCACCTAAAAATATTACGACAGAATAAATCTGACTTCCTGAACTTTCTGTTTGTTCTGAGTGAAGAGGAAAACAGACGCCGTTGGTGCCATAGTAGTTCCTGAAAAATTCCTTATTGCTCAGTGGGATAAAAGCAACAGCAAACCCAATTATCCAGATAAGAATCAAAATGGAAATTGTCCTGCATTTTCTGGGCTTCAAACACCTAAAAGGATAAACTATGCAGATGTATTTTTCCAAAGTCAGGTAAGTCAACAGTAAGACTGACACCTCTGTAGACAGAATAGCCAGCGATCCCACCAATTGACAATGAATACTGTCCATCCACAACTGAGCGTGCTTGTTGTATTCTCCGCGATACTTAAGATCAAAAGCTCCAATCACAAATAAATATATTCCCATCAGACAGTCAGCACCTGTGGGCACAGTGCTTAACATCATTATTCACACATCTGAACTTCCCATTCTCTGTCTATATGAATATTGGAAAACAGACATACACATGTATATATGAGTACATATTTGAAAGCCAGCTAACATATAGATATAAAAATCAATAGTATAATTGGAATGATAGAATACTATTGTGAATTACAATTAAGGCAGTATAATTCAGTTCCATTCCTTTTTTTTTTTTAATTTTTAGTTGGACTGATAGCCTTTGTTTCATACTTGTTTGCAACCCGCTTTTTGAAGTTCAGATAAAATTCGTTTGCAAACAGAAAAATATATAGCTTCATTTATAGCAACACTCTTGCAACCCAGTTTTTCATTATGTCTTACTCCTTTTGACATTGACATTTAGCTTCAGATAATTTGTCTTGTGTAAGGCCTCTCTGCTGGATTCAAAGCTTAGTTCTGGTTTGTTCACCTTATGCTAATTCAAAACTGGGGTGCATAGTCTTATAAAACTAGTAAGGGCAGAGGAACTGGCAACACAGAGCTGAACGTTTCTCAGGTATTTTGGCTGAAAGTTCTTGGTGGTGGTATTCAGACTGTTCCCAAGATTAAACAACAAAGTTTCAAAAGTCATGCTGCCTTTAGAAAAGTTGCAGTAATTTTAAACACTGTTGACAATTACCTTTCTAAACGCAACTAATAGCATCTGTGAAATACTCCTGTATTAGGACAGGGTACTTGAGATTATGGTGATTCTGCTGCCAAGTAGTTAATCCATAAACCTGTCTTGTCTTTAGGACAAAAATAAGAGAGACTCTAATTCTTAGCATTGGGGAACTAGGAATTATTGACAGATTTTCTATGCTTGCGTAAGTAACCTTTTTCTTGTGCAAAAAGTAGAGTATCTGTATTGAACACAATGCTTACATGTGCAAATCGCTATTTATTCAAAAATGCATAGTAAAATTTAAGTTTATGGGCCTTTGAAAAATTTGGAATTTTATTTCTCCTTGCTGAAGAGAGTGTGACACAGTACCCACAGCATTAAAATCAAACGTGAAACCTTTGGAATGTGTCAGCTGCCTGCTGGTACAGAACAAAAGCAGCATCCAACGAGACCTCCTGATGCATAAAGGGCACAGCATTTCCTATCGTCATTTGCAACAACATGAAAGTTCAGTTAATCCAATGCTGGAAATGTGTCACTATATTATAACAACAAATACCATATACACTATCAGCAGACTAAACCAACATTCTTTTACTTTTATGCGTGGAGTACTCACAGCAGAGAGACATTATTGAGATGGCGTGAAGCTTATTCTCTGATCTGATGTAAGGCCTCATGCAGATAACAAAAATATTTCCAAAGCAGGTGATGGCAGATACCACCCAGACAAAGACTCTCTGGATGATGCTAGCTAAAAGATTCTCAAGGGATGAAATCCCATCAGTATTGGGCTTGCAGCTGCGCACATGAGGGGCGTATCCACAGTACTGGAATTTCTTAAAATATCTGGTTGTGAAAAAGAAAAACAGAGATATGGTTCTAGTTTCGTTACAAGAATATCAAAACTGTCTAGTAACTACTCAGAAAACATACTCTGGAAGAAGAAAAAATAATTCAAAACTGTCAAGATTTAACAACTGTGCACATGCTGCTTTTCATACACTTATGTTTTCAATTATCCAGTATTCTATAAATTGTAAAATTCAGACCAAAGAAAACAAATCTACTTACATGTGGGAAAGGTTTCTCAAGGGCTCAAACATTCTTCTGTGGATGTTTGCAATTTCGATGCCCTCCAAGCTGCTGTAAACAATATACTCTCAATAAAAAGGCCATAGAAACTCAGTCGTAAAAGAACAAATTTTATAAGCATTTAATTGTGCTTCTATGAATATAGGAAGCTAGAGATGAACTTTAACTGCATCTAATCTGTCATCCCTTTGAAACTTGAACAGAAAGTCTCTGTAAAAGCTAAAGTGTAATAAAATAAATTGCAGTTAATTCTAATAAACTCACTGTTCTTCCAAAATCACGAAGGTGGCTCTTTTAGTGCTCCCAGCAGTTCAATCTCTGATTATTGTGTTACCCTTCCAAAGTATTGTTCTACTGATGTTCTTTCATCATCTCAGAAAATAATAACTTGTTCCAATGGTAATATTTTACATGTCTCTTTTGTCTTTTATCCCAGGGAGTGCTTTACTACACAAACCAACCACTGCAGGAATTCAGTCTTCATTGTGTCAAGAGCAGCAGGAAGCTGGGACACAGAACATGGCATGTAAGGGAAAATGCTGGCTTTCTTGTGACACATAAATGGGATTTCTTATTTTAAGGCTTATTTTTTAATATATAGAAAATGGCAGTATTATTCCCTCTGAAGTGCTAGATCAGTACAGTGTTACTGTGTAAGTTGTTCTTTTAGAACTCCTGTATTTTTCCATCCCAGCCCATCCACTGGTTAAATGTGCAACCGGTTAGGGGTCTTTGGTTCCCCTTGTGGGGAGCCTTATTTTAATTCACTGTTCAATGCTTGGAATGCAATATTCATGTGAATTCTGAGCAGAAATTTGTACAAGTAGAATTTAGAATTGTGTACAGATTTAGTATTTAGTTGAATTTGGCCACTAGATTCCAACTCACTGGGAGGAAGGTGGACTGATCAACAGAGGCATATGCACTGCTGGCTACAGCTCAGGGGTCAAATCATAAATTCCTATTGCATGTCTATCCAAGGAAACATGTCTTTTTCTATTTCCACAACTGTTTTTAGCAGGACCTGTTGAGATAGGAGAGAGGGTAATGGCTTTAAACTGAAAGAGGGAAGATTTAGACTAGACATAAGGAAGAAATTTTTTACACTGAGTGTGGTGAAACACTGGCACAGGTTTCCCAGAGAGGCGATAGATGCCCCATCCATGGAAACATTCAAGGTCAGGTTGGATGGGGCTCTGAGCAACATGATCTTATTGAACATGTCACTGTTCACTGCAGGTGGGTTGAACTAAATGACCTTTAAAGCTCCCTTCCAACCCAAACTATTCTATGATTCTATGATTTTGAAATGATGACCAACAAGAGCCAAAACTGTGTTCTACCAAGCTGGTCATTGCAGACCTGCAGTGGCCTGTGAAGATGTACTTAAAGATGTACTGCAGGATAATTTCAGATTTGTAAAATTGTCACTGTACTATCACAGTTTTAGGAAGACCTCTGCTGGCAGAATTCAAGTTGGAGCTTCTGTGTTATTGCACCCACAAAAACTCCCCCTAAACTCTTCAAAAAGATTTATAAAAGTCCCATCTCCCTCTGAGATGGCAGCTTCATTTTACTTGGTTTACACTGTTCTTTTCATGGTGCTAGCAGTAAATTCTGTAAGAAGGGAAATATGATCCCAAACTTGTATATATCCCAATTTTCTTTATAATACCTGTCTTTACATATCCTAATGGTACTGGGTAATGGCATTAACAGCATGACCCTTAAGCTCTGTGAACAAGTTGTGCAAGGTCAAAAGAGAGTTGCGTTAATCTTGTTCTGTAACAGAAAATACAATGTCCTCCTTCTCTAAGCTGAATTTATGATCTCTTTTTGTTGGAAAAGAATCCATTATGAAACTGGTATTGTCAGGAAGGAAAATTTGAGTATTGCTAATAATTATTTTCCAGGCTTAAATTATTGAGGATCATCAACATAACTATGATCTATTTCAAGAGCAATTTCTTATAAAATGTATTCTGGATCATGTCCTTCTGAAGGAGATGTACATAATCACAAAAAAATAGAGCTAAAATGTAAAAACTTGATACTTACAGGGATTTAAGTTTAATTAGAAAATCAAACTGGTCTATTTGTATTTTCTTGATTGGGTTGTAAGAAAGGTTCCTGTAAATACAGCATAGACATAAGTAGCTTTGAACATCTTCCTTACAGCTTGTTCTAAAAATAAAGTCAAACTACATAACCCATTTGCTTTTCCAGTTGTGTAGGGAGGACAATTGGCAGTTCCAACTGCAAACGTTAACATTCATTTAGTGTTATCCAGCTTGGTAAGCCAGTGGAAAGAGTAGTCAGATGCTCCACAGGCATGCTATTGCCACGTGTACACACACAAAGCCCTCTCCCCAACTCCACCCACCCACTCCTGCCTCCCCCAGCTTGTTGCTTAAAGCTTTTGACTACAGAAATATTTAGTTATTAAACTTGCCAGACTTGTCTTTCAAGTAAAAGAACCTAGCTGAACTGCATGCAGTTAGGAATAAATTACAATTGATTTTGCTATTTGCTAAAATCTATTTTTTGTAATCATTTGTGTGAGTTCAAGAAGAGATAGAGGCAGTGGAATGTAAAAATAGATGTTAGCATTAGATGCCTCCACTCTGTGCAAGAGTGTTTCTAGGTACCCCCTTTTTCTTCTCCCTGTAACTTTTCCTTATGTTTTCATTTTGATATTGTAACTAAAATGGTCAAACCCAATAAATGCAGCTGTACACACTTGATTGCCCCAGTGTATTTTAATGGATCCCAAGGATGCTGGAAAAACACAAAAATAAGTTATTTCACATACTACATCCTCTCCTTCAGAGAGGTCTTCAATTTTGTGACTAGTGCCTCTTTCAGATTATGTGAGAGAGAGATCGGGACTTTCCAGCAGCAGCATTTGAGAATTTGCCCATGTATGTGTCATGGGAAAAAGAAAGAATGTCTTTCTGGTTTTACAATACCTAGTGCTTTTTTGGAACTCTTTCACGAGAAAAAAGCAGTTTCAAACAAGACATCTGTATGATGCTCTTATGCATTTTTATTATCTATTTTTAGTTCCAAATCCTGATAGCACATTAAACATTCCTATGAAATTATTAATTTCTCATTATATAGCTAACATAGCTCATTTTGTATATGCAAAAGATCTAGAAAACGTAGAATTTGGACTTAACACCTTTTGGGACATGAGTACACACATTTTCTACAAAACTATTCTGTTATATAGAATGACTTCTGGGGTAAGTATTTTTTAGGCAGGGCTTAAATGGCGCATACAAACGTGCTGTTTTCTTTCCCAGCATTCGTGACTGAAAGCATCATATCAAATGAGTAATAAACAGTAATACATCATAAGAATCAAGAATCCTTACAGTTGTGAAAGCTCCTTTAGATCCTTAAATATATATGGAGAAAGTGATTCAATCTTGTTACTAGCCAAATCTCTGCAGAAAGAGACACAGGTAGGATACAGTAAGTTCTAACGAGGCTCAGTAATTTTACCAAACCATTTTGCAATTTCAAGGCAAACAGTTTTATTCTGTTTGCAAAATATTATTTATTATACAGGGTATAAGAAACTTCTACTTTGAAAGAACGCTGTTAAAGCTAGGTGGGAAGCTAGATCCACCAGATTTCTCTTTGTCTAGTTAGCTCAGATATACCGTTAGATACATAGTTTATTATTATTGTATTTACATCAAAAAGAAAGTAAAATACACTTAACTTGAGTTGTAGGAGCTTGGAAATAAATTAAATTTGCTGTTTCATGATGGGAATTTTCTCACATGGGCTAGCCAGCTCCACGTCTTTCCCTTAGTTTTTCTCTTTAGCTGTGTGTTTACTATCACTTAACACAGATTTTAATAGCTGTCGACAGAGGAGTAAAAATCTCAGTCTGACTGAAACTGGCAAACCAGTCTAAAAGATACTGTGGTGGTCTAAGATTAATTAGTATGATTCTACTCAGGGAACATAAGGATCTTTTGAGCAAAATCCCCAATATTATTGATATTCACAGAATATGAATTATTTTATTGACTATTTCTTCCCTGCTAAATATACAGAATAAAATCCCTAGGATGGGTGCTATCTCCAGACATGTTATATGAAACAGAATTTATGATAAATAATGTCTGTAATAGAAATTATAAAACTTTGTGACTTATTAATACAAGTAAGAGAAGAAATTAACTCACAATTCATCTAACATCTGGAGAGAAGAAAAGCTGTTTTCATTTAAAGAGCTGATTTTATTTCGTCTCATCACCCTGAAAGAATAAAACAAAGTTATGTTGCTGCTTCTTGACATCTATTTGGTTTTGGAAAAAACTTTTTATAAACTTTTAAAATTCTCTCTTCTCTGCATCTTCAGATATTTGCCTAATTCATTAACAAACTAATCAGATGTAGAAGCTTACTATTTTACTATTTGATAAATAACTTTGCCTATGCACGTATGTGTTTGTGTGTGTATATATACATATATATGCACAAACCCATAGGAGGCCAGTAAAAATTGGCTGAGGGCAGGAGGAAGATTAAGTGGACTGGAAGGCTTGTGACCTAGTCACATCTTGGACACAGGCACATGGCTGTGCAAATTTTCCTTCACCCCTATTTCATCTGCCTCTGAGCTTGCTACTTAAATGATGAACAACCTGGATTTTAAAAGCAAAGAGAAAGCCAAGAATATGGGCACTGCACAAGTTAAAAATTGAAAGTGCCAGGTACAGTGGACCCTGCTAATCCTGCAAAAGGTTAAAGGGATTTTCTGAAGATGATTACAACATCATTGTAACCAAACTTTGGGGAAAATTCTAGAACTGATGAGCCAGTCAACCCACCAGCCAAACTTGTTTAAATGAAGAAACGAGCTACATATGTTGTATGTTTTCTGCTTTTTATTATGAGATTTTTCCTCCTTTTCCAAGTGAAAAGTTAGAATGAAAAATCAAAATGTCAGTCAAAATCACTTCAGTGACGTTTAGTTGCATATATTAAGGCTGAATTTTGCTATAAATGTAAACAGTGGTTATTTTATATGGCGCTCATTTGAAACTGAACATTTTAATCTCCTGAGATCTAAATAACCATGATAGTCAGGAAACTTTAACATTGGCTGTAACAAATCACTTGACTGTTCAACAGAAGCATATCTCACTCTGGCTGGCTAGCACATCCCATTACTTACAGTACAGTTAGAGTGTGGCAGGAGATGAAAGTGACATTTCTTATATGATGGATATGGTTGCCTTCAAGGTCTCTGGGATATAAAAACAAAACATCAATCACTGAAAATAAATTCAGGCAGTTATTCAAAGGTAATTAAAGAAAAATACTATCAGAACTTCATGACTGCACAAACAAGAGTCAGAACCAGATATATAATATTTCTGCACAGCCAATTGATGCCTTCAGGCCATCAGCCCCGCAGTGAGCCAGCAGGCACTCTGTGAGATTCAGTGCCCCATTAGAAAAAGTGGTGTGGAAACGCCATACAAAGACAACAAAATAATATTTTTCTAGTGAAATAAGGTAGACTTACAGCCAGTTTAGTCGTGGCATATATTGGCATAGAGGCTTTTCAGGCAAACGAGCAAGAGAATTATTCATCATCTCTCTGAAAAAAAGAATAGTAGAACTATTTATATTTGCCAAAAATTACGTTACAGAAAAAAACACTTGTCTTTCGTATTTGTGCTTTGACAAAAAGGCAGTCAAAGTTCTAATTGTTTCTCATAGTCTTGGAGGTAGAATTTTTTATTAAACTTCCACATATTTTCCCTGTGGCATTCTGAGGAGCAGTGTTTTGTCCTTAACTTGTTAATTACCAGGTAAAGGAAAGATGTTCACTGCTTTTAAAATAAAACATAACACTTGATATAAATGTTTTGACTGTTCTGTCATAACATGTAACTTCTATTTATGGCAGAGGGAAGGGGAGATGGAGGGAGGTTTCCCTCCGAGCTGCAGAGGTAGGGAGTCCCTCACCTTTGGGCCTGGAGAGGACAGCAGGAGGTTACAGAGAGGGTCTTGGGGATGGAGGCAGGGCTGCTGCTGGGGGCAGGAGCTTTGGGACCCCTGCCTCCTGCATCGTGGCTCTGGAGGACAACTGCCACCTATTGCTGCAGCTGCCGTGTCCTTTCTCTCTCAAGGACACTGTCTTTTTACTATTTTCCCTCATTTTTCTCCCTATACTTTTCCAGACACTGCATGTCTGCTGCTGCCAAATCCTCCTACACCAGCACATCACACCTGGGGATAAGAAAAAGCTACAGGTGTACTGCTGGCACTCTGTGCTGAGCAAGCACAGCCATTATAAAAAGGTTTACATACATATATCTGCCCTTTCTGTTCTGTTCTTTTAAATAACTGCTGTGGTTTAGGCTGGGCTATCCACTAAACAAATGACAGAAGGGAAAGGAAGACAAAATAAAGGAGAGAGACTTATGGGTTGGTACCCCCCCCCCCCAAAGTAGCTTTAATGACATACTAACAATAAAAAGAAAAGTTAATAATATTAATAAGAAAGTAATGAAATATATAAAAATATATACAAAGCCAATATCGAGCCACCAGGATGATGATCACATCACTGGCAAGAGCTGGGACTCAGCAGCAGGTGGGCACCGGATTCAAGAACTGGGTTTGGGAACACATGGGTTGGGATCAAAGGCCAAAGAACAGACAGAGCCTCCTCAGACACCAGCTATTGAAAAAGAGGCTTGACCCCTCGATCCTTCAGCTTTATACTGAGCATGGTGCAGACAGGATGGAATACCCTGTTGGTCAGTTTTGGGACCTGTCCTGTCCACTCCTCCCCACAGGTGTGACCCTGCTACACACTTCTGTTTCCAGCCCCCCAGTGAGGAAAATAACAAAGTGAGCAGACCTTGGGTGTATGAAAAGAAAATTGGTTTTGTTCCACCTCAAACCATGACAATAACGCTTTTGGTTCTTATTCCATACTTACAGAAGGATAAGTGACTTGAGTCCATAAAACGTCAACGGGGAGATTCGATTTATCCTGTTATTTTCAATTATCCTATGAATTAGAGCAAAGCATGTATCAGATTGATAATTAACTGCAGTCTTAAATTGAACAGATGAAAAAAAAAAAACCAAACACAATCGAAGTGGTTTTCTTCAAATGCCCATTCAGACTACTTAAAAAATTAATGCACTACTCCATAGCAGGTCAGGGTATACATTGAATTAATTTCCTTTCAGAAGAATTTAATTTAAAAAAAAATAAATTTTACCTCAGAGAAAGCAATTGTTTTAAATTTAAAAAAAAATATTTTCTTGCCAGTTTTCAAAATTCCTTGATCAAGAATTTGAATTAATTCCCTGTGAAAACAAGGCAGCACCACATAACGGTGTTCCACAACAATCCATCAGTTCAAAACACAGAGAAATATGTTATGTATATTATTGATTGCTTAATTTCAATAACTTTACTGAGTCAAAACAGTATTTAAATTTCATCTATCTGGAAAGCAGTAATAAAAAAATATTTCAGATTATGACAGTCATTTTGTCTGGGACACTTCAAGAACTATTGACTGCCCCCCAAAAAATCTTTTTACTGTTTTACAGCATCTGAGTTATTGAATGTATTAATTTGTAACAAGCAATTACTAATAGGCATTATTTAGTATTGTAAAATCACCAGTCATTGGAACCATTAAGGCCCCAAGAACAAATTTCTGCTCTCACCAAAGTGAATGGGATTTTTACCTTGCACAGTGCAACAGGAGTTCCTTAGTTATTATCTAGTATAAAGTATCACTATGCACAAAAATTAAAACAATCCAAATATTTCTTTGTCTTGCTTCATTTAGTCCTTAAAAAAATAAACATACAAATAAGAAAACAACATACAGCCATTCAAGCCTGTGTAGATCTTCAAAGACACCAGGCTTCAAACTGGTTATCTTGTTGTTGCTCAGGTATCTGAAACAAGTCCCAGGTAAGACAAATGAATGGAATGACTAATTAGCATCAGATGCACGAAAATGAGTTCTGAGATTTTTCCTTTATAATTCACCAGAATTACTGCTAAATTTTTTTCATAATTATCATTTTTGATTAGGGTAGTTTTTCATGCTTTTCTTTGAAAAATAACCCACTAAGTAAGCAAAAAGCCCCTTATACGTGGTTCCAGTCTCTTTCTCCCCAAGAAAGCCAATTTTTTTTTTTTGTGACAGAAGGAAAGGTGCAGGCTTGCGTCTTTCCTAGAAATGCCAGAGCAGGGCAGGACTCTCTGTAGTGAGGGCTTCGGAACAATTATCGTGAGCATTTTGTCTTATCTGTAGGAAAACACCACAGGCTACATATTTTCACCCTGTCATAATTTAGGCCCTTCCCAGTTTCCTTCTGTGGAGCGATTCATTCCACAAATGTTCCCAGGATCCCGTTCAGTCTCTGCTAAGGATGTTTTAGTCACAATTAGATACCAGAATCATGGAAAAAGCAAGCCTGAGCAATGGAGTGAGGGGCTGTGCTATAAACGGTCTGGGAAGGTAATAACAGCAGCTGTAATAACAGATAATCAACCACACTCATGTGACGGAAAATGAAGAGGTACAACATAGGAAAAAAATTTCCTTTTAAAAACACTGCAGAAATGAAAAGCTGAGCTGAACAACACGATTTATTTATCGTCTCTTTCACTGAGTGTTTTCCTTAGGCATTAGCAGTACCTTTCAAAAAGCTGCTGCAAAATAGTGTTCTTCTCATTACCCATACTGGCTACTTTTGTTTGCTTCTGTAAACCAAAATATAACGTTAAAGAGTTTTGATTCATCACAAGGTATTTCTTATGGTTTATTTCCTTTTTCATTCTTTCTGACCATCTCTCTCTTTCTTCCACTCTGCAGATTTGGGGAACAGATCTGGAGTATGGACCCCACTTGTATTTTCAAAGTATTGTCCTGTCAGATAAACTTGCACAGATAACTCTTAATCTGTATTTGCTTTCTTGATCCAATCATTGATTTCAAGATTTGGACCATTTTTGCAGCTTCCTAACATTGAATCAAGTAAGAGCAAGACATCCATAGCGACTCTCAGAGCGATTTCCCTTGCTCTTTACTTCAGTATTCAAAAAGCAGTACTTACAGTTTTGTCAAGTTGTATAAACCTTTGAAAGCACGTTCAGATACAGCTCTGATTTTATTATTCTGAAGGTACCTAAGAAGATACAACTATTAATTCTTTAAGCACGCAAATTCAAAGCTAGTGTAAATAACCAATTAAAATCTATCAATGAAACCGGATGCATGTGTGATACTCAAAAAGGCACTGTCAAACTTTGCACACCTGAAATTTGACAATACAGTCAATAAAGCGTCCAGACACATTTCTGTTAAAAAGCATAAGAAACCTGACACTGGCTTTTACAGAATGGGTTTGCCCCAAAAGCTGCTCAAAAGCTTTCTGAAAATGTACAGCTGTCAATCAGAAACGTGTGAAGTTAATAGTCAGTAGTCATAATTAATTAACACTAAATAATATCAATACATCTTAGGGACGATTTCTTTGGCTGAGAAGGTATCTTTCAGCACTTTAAGACTGGCACTGAACGCGTGGAACAGGAGGTGGTGCTGCAGCACAGCACAGGCGACGGAGAAGCTACAGACCGTGAGCTGCCTAGAATGTGGGAGCCATGAGTTGGTGACATAAGAGCCCTGCTCTAGACTGTTGCTTTTAATTGTTAATTTCTCTAAATCTCTATAAAGAAAGCTGGTTAAAGGCTGTGATTTTTTGAACAACATATATGCTACCCATCATAAAACATAGCACAGTATTGCACTGCTGTAACAATTTGACTAGTTCGGGCATTGTGAAATTAGTACCAGATGTAATTAGGAGTAAAACCAAAGTGCCATGTAAATAAGCTCCCCATGATAATAGAAGATTAAGTTTCCATTTTTTTTTTTTCTGCAGAAAAAATGGATTAAGTTAATTTCTTTTGGAACATCACTGTTCATCGTAAATATAACTTCCTTCAGATATGAGGAAAGTTCAGCAATTTGTTGGTATAAAATAGTCAATGCAAAAAAACCCTAGATATGCAGAAATTATGGTTTTGCAAAAATAGAGATGTCAAATCAAGCTATTTGAGCCAAACAGGTTACACAATTAGATGAAGTACTGAAGGGTAAGACAAAACAGAATTTTGAGTTAAGCTCTGTGTGTGCATACGTGAGAGGGAGAAAATAAATATTTTTGGATAGATAGATTTTGAATAGATATTTTAAGTGGAAATACTCCCTTACAGATTCTTAAGGTCTTGGTATTTCTTGAAAATGTCAGCAGAAAGTTTCCTTAGTAGATTCCTCTGAAGAGACCTGTAGGAATGAATGCGCACAGTAAAATTACTCTCCCAGCTTCCTACAGTACTGCCTCTTTCATTATTCAATAAGGACAGCTTTCACACTGTTAAATAACAAAAGCAACATGAAACCATCTGAATATGTTACCTCTACTTGCCTCAATATTTCTATATATTTAAGCCAAATACTTTATCATTTAAAAATATTCTTCCATGTCCCCAGGGCAACTAACAAAATAATAACTATAAAAGTTAAGAAAATCTGAGCATAAACTAAACCAAATTTATTTCAAACTTCAAATGCATATAGAGTTTGTTTCCTGGTTGCATGTGTCCTTATGTCCCCATCTCCATTGGGCACCGACTCAAGTGTCCTGTCAAGAATAAAAATTTTTCAGGTTGGATTAAAGGAAATCCTGGCCTGAAAGCCAGCTGAACTGACTCACTGCTTTGTTCTACAGCTAGAACTGAGGCATTATTTTTGAAGTCTTCACTGATCCCGAGCCAACAGCCAGTTTAAATATATATTTGACATTCCATATCAGTCTTACGAAGTACTGCAGTATTTGAACATGGACCCAAGAAGAAGAACCTTGGCCACACGTGAGCACAACCCGGAGCCAAACAGAAAGGTTCGTACCCCTGCTCTGTGGGGTAGATCCTCAGGTAAGGACATGTGATGTTGCCCTCTGCTCACCACACAGAAAATGTCCTCTCAAACAGTGATGTGTAAATAAGAGCAATATCAACCATTCCCTGATCTCTTCCAAAAATTTGACTTACACATACGTATCTGTACGATGACCCAGCCCAGATTAAATCTCTTTAAATAATGGTATATTCAGAGACATTGAATGAGAACTAAAAAGATTTACTCAAGCAGGTAGTTCCAATGAGTTCAAGGTTATTGACTTTATTGCCAGGAATGTAGACTAGAAATATTGGCAGAATCATAGAATAATAAAAAGGTCCTAAGCATTGTGTCTTAAAAGGAAACATTTCCTTTGAAGATTTCTTTAGATTTCCTGAAACTGTTGATAGCTCAAGTCACTGTTGCAAACATGAAACGATCACTTCATAGAGTTTTTTAGTTCCTTTTCTCTCCTTTTATGTAGGGAAAATCTGTACTTAAAACGCTAAAGGACTTGTCAACAGAGAGACACTTTGCTTTCACAAGCACCATCTGAGCCAACCGATCATAATTTTAATTGTAATTGTGAAAAGGTTGTAGGACTGTCAGTCAAACCTGAACAGAGCAAATGACCACTTCTCTTCTCTACTTACATTATGGTTATGTTTGAAGGGACTGACGGGACAGCACGCAGCTTGGCAGCGTCGCAGAAGATCTCCAGCCCTTGGCAGGTACACTCTGCTGGCACAGCACCAGCCGCTGCGTGAGAGCAAGAGGGTGGTCGTGCCAAAAGGTGGGATGGGTGGGGTGGTAGGACGGGGAGAAAAGAAGTACAGTATGAAAGAAAAGTGAGCACAAAGGCAGATATACCAGGCTGTGTTAAAGTAAGGCACATGTTTCTATGTAATTGATTTAGACCTGGGATGAATTTAACAATAAATATAAAGTGAAACAAAACCTTTTTGCTACCTGCTGACCTCTGTAAAAGAGCTTATAGAAGCTCTTGGTTTTAGGCTTGCTGTACAGAAATCTGGAATGGTAACAGTTTTTCGTATTTTTTGTGGTGCTCTTTTAGATTACTCGGTCCTCTTATACTTACTAGAATGAGCACAATTCTGTCTAGGTGAAAATGGGGTAAAAATGCATCAGGAAATCTTTGCTCCATTTTCCTCATCTATCTGCTTTAAGTTAGTCAAAGTCAGAAAATCTGTACAAAGGGACGGATTATGCCCAGAATCATTTGATGTATGAAGAAGTGAATTTGGAGGAATGTTGCCTTCATTTCACTCTGAAAGATGTGTGTTTCATGGTCTTTCCAGCTGTATTAATATATTCAGATAAACATTTATAATACCCTCTTAATTGGCATATGTTTGTTGCTTGGCTTACAGAAAATGAATCACTCTTAATGGAACTGAAATTCGTTTCAAAGCATTTGTTCATATGGGATATTAATTCTGGTTTACTATCAATGAAACTGCACTACATTTCTCTTTCTGATATTTGCTATATACTTCTTTCTAGGAATCATCAGTAATAATCACACAAAAAATATCAGTAATTACTCACAACACTCTGGTGTCTTTGTCTGAAATGCATACAGAGATTTCAGTTTGTTGTATTTGTCCTTTGTATAATGTTTATCAAATTGCAGAGACCATCCATTGTTGTCTTCTAATAAAATAAAAATGAAACACAAATAGAAGACAGATTAGAATAGAAATAGAAGGCAGAAGAACCCTCACTAAATTTAGGTGCATCAAGTTCTGCTGAATAAGTGTTTTTTTCCAGAACATAGCATAGACCATTAGGTGATCTTATCTTTATACAGCTGCCTAATCACATGTAGGTACAGACATTATGAGCAGGAACAGCTTATTATACCTAAACAACAACATTCTCTGTGACAGTTGCACCAAAAAAGTACAATCTTTCACTTCAGAACATTTTGTTTTTGTAGGACTCTAAAAACGAGAGGCAACCATATTTTCCCTTCTCCTTAAACGTGCTGGTTTGTCCAGGAAAGCTCAAATGATTGCTACAACTCCAAGCACTTCTTTCAGAGGGCTTTATCACTATCACAGCCTCTCATTTCTTTCCTGAAAATCTAGATGAAGACCAAATGAACACTGCTTTTCAAGAGAATAGGTGATTTGATGTAACATATTCAAGTCAGTTTGTTTAAGTTAAGCTTAATATGCATCTTCTTAAACAAAGCATTATTCCATATTATCAACCTGGTCACTGTGCATAGATGTACTGGAGAAGAGTGGTTTATGGCCATAAAGATGAAAATTGAAGAGCAGATCTTTCAGTTCCTTCCCACAAATGGACATTTCTAGATACAGTGGTGCTGGAAATAACTAAAGACCGATTTCTTGGAAGTCTATCATACAAACTAACTGATCAAGTAACTGCTTCCAAAACAGGGCAGGAATACACAGCACCAGGAAAAAAGCAAAAAAAAAAAAAAAGCAAAAAAAAAGAGGTGAGAAATAAAAAAAAAGAAAAAGAAAAAAAATGAGTTTGCCTTTAAAAGCTGTGATCTGATTCTAGTTTTATTAGAGTCTGACCTCTCTTCAGCTTTGACAAACCCACATCCTTTTAGTTTAAAGCATGTCATGTAATGAATATGCACCAGTTGCAGAAATACTCCTTAGGATGGCACTCACTACCTGGTGAGTCAAAGCATCAGTGATAATTGAAAGCATTTCTTTGTAATGATACCTGCTGTCGAACCACATTTATATGACAACTCCAAGGATGGCTCTGCTTTGCTAGTCATTACCGTCTCAGTTTCACTTCTATGATATGCTAGCCACAATCTTTCCCCCTGCAGTTCCACATGGAAATTGTTTAGTTAAATACAATTCCTCACAGACACATCTCTATAAATCTTTATATTCAAGTAAGCATGGCTACTATATCTATTGGCTTCAAAATAGGCAGGGAGAAATAAAAGATATTTACTTCTTTGCAACTTTTCCCATTCTGAAATGTCTCATTTTTCACATCCCATTACAACTCAGTTGTTTTCTCAGGTAGGTATGGAAACCACCTTGAGAGCATCTCCTGGAGCCTGCTTGGGAGCGCCAGCAGATGGAGCCTCTCTGCCAGAGATGCCTGCCTCCTCACTGCCTGAGCTGCAAAGATGTGCTGCACATGCTGATTAACAGATGTTATGAAACACTAACTGACTTCAAGCAAACTATCTTTTATCTAGTTGTTCCTTTGTTACGCATAAATTGAAAAGATAAAGGATTCAAAGTAACCCAAAATCTCTGCTTTCAGGAATTGCCCCATTAAGAGACAAGACTGACTTGAAAAGTGCCTCCTTCGCTCCAAAATTAATGTGAATTAATTTATGGCCTGCAAGAATGCCAGCTTCCCACTCAGAGAAGGTATTTAAGCGCATTTAACTAACTTCCTCAAGAGCACCTGGTATGCTCTGATCCATTGGCAGTTTTGCCAGTTTAGGGCATGAAGCAGATATTTAGAATCTGCCTAATGCATTTTGGACAAAATGAAGGATGTTGGCAAACCTGCAGAAATATTGCTGCTGCCTGTTTTAAACGCTCAGCAGAAGTTCAGTTTTAGGACTACCTGCGACAGGGAATCTGTAATTGATGGAGCGATGAGAACAGATCCTTTGCCAAGTGCTGAGCGCTATATAAACCTACTGCCCTGTCGTTAGGGCTCTAACGAGGTTTCCCCTATCGTTCTTTCTGAATATTTCACTGGAGCATGTCCATTGACTTTCATTTGCAAGACTGGATCCAGCAACTAGGACCTGAAGCAACTAGTGGGAATACAATGTATGTGGAGAAGGTAAGATTTAAGGAGAGAGGAGTCTTTCATTGAGAATTTTTAAACAGGAAATTGTAAAGATGTATTCTTGTAGTATAATCCAACCAAATAAATATTATGCAGTCAGGAATACAGTCTCAAAATATTTTTGGACTAATTGATAATTACGTTCATAGAAAGGTTGGGACAACTTTATCTGCAGATTCTGAATATATAGTTAAAAGCCATAAATTCTAATCCTCCTGTAAGCCAATGAATACATAAAGTATCATTTTTCTGCATTTCCCTGCTTCTGACACTAAAGAGCAGATAGATGAGAGTTTATTCCACCTTTTTGTATTTTTAAAATATTTTGCCATGTGACAAAGCATGTACAACAGGTGACCATTACTGCAGTTCACATCTGCAGAGAAAAAGGATGAGCAGGGCCTCCTACACTACTGGGAGGCAGTTCACTACGAAAGGGAAGTTCATCAACATTCTCAAGGAAGCCAAGAGACAGCTGTGTATTTTTTGGTGGCCACAAAAGAAAAGGGGAAAAAAAGCACAGAGAAGGGAGAACATGGCTTACTTTGTATGGGAAGCATTCCAGTTGTCTGGAATTTCTGGTCAGTTCATTTTAAATGACAGTCTTTTCTCGTGGCATTGATTTTCCTGCTTTCTACTACAAATACAAAGGCATATCTGAATATAAAGAAAGAATTTATTCAAAGTTTTCTGACCTTAAAAATGTTTGTTTTGTGCCAAGCTTTGTGCCCAAGCCTTGGACAGTCTTTATTTTATACAAACTGTTTTTTCAAATCCCAGAAGACTGCATTGTGCAAATAACTATATTTAGTACAACTGTTCGGTGAGGCACCAGCCAGAACCATAAATCACTTTGTGATGGTTTAGAGTTTATATGGTAGGCTTGTGACCTGTTTACCTCTGTCGAGATGAGGTTCTCCAAACACTTTAAGAAATGACTGGTAATAGTACTGGTCTTGAAATCCCAAATCTTTCATTTGGGGGAGTACAGCTTAGAAGAAAAATTGCTTTTTCCCAAGCCAGTTCTAAAATAGATTATGTTGGCTGCACTTCTGCAAAAAATGAAATCGAAAAAAACAAGGCACCAGCAAATCTTCCCCTACACAGGATAACTGAAGTAAGTAATTGTAAACAGTATTACAGATTAATACACTGATCCTTGCTAAAAGTTGTCAATTACCATTTCTGATGGGAAAGGAATGAGAAAGAGTATGTTAACCCTGACAAACTACAGATTTGAATAATCCTTTCAATGACAGATCCAAGAAAATATCAGCTTTCCTCAACTAAAGACACATCTCTTATTTAGGATGAGGCTTATGAACAGGACGTTATTTATACGACTCCCCTTCTCTCAGCCATGTCTTCATGGGTTATTATGCAGATAAATACTCTCAGTGAAATGTGAAGAGAAACTGTGTCACCCATTGATTTTGCCTTTGCTGTTGGTAGTCATAACCTGTGAACATATTTCTTTCTGCCAGCTGTTCAAATATACTTTTTCTTGCTGTAAGAAATGACTTCAGGCTTTTTACAAAGATATCTTTTAGTGCAACAAGGAACACCTCCAGACAAGAAGCAATTCCATTAAAAATGTTTACAGATGAAGGAATATAATTGCCCTTTTCTGCAATGTTGGGCCATACTGAGACAGTCTAATAACTTACAATAAGACCAAAACCACACCGAGATTTTACAAAGCAGAGTTTTGCAGTGCCTGGAGCATTCGATGCTGGGAGGGAATTTCACAACCCTACTTTAGATACCCAAGTGGAAAAAATGAAGAACTGGACACCTGCCAGTCAAGGCAAAGCCAATTTACCCCACACCAAGCTGTGTCACTGCACATTGACTGCATCCCGTACCTGCCGATTAATTGGAATGTAGCTTGCCTACTTATATGTGACAATGCAATCATAGAAAAACAGGCAATTAAATAAATTAAAATAAGGTTTGCACTTCTCTAGATGAGACAGATTACATGCTTACACAAGTTTGTTCTTGATTTTAAAACAATTTAGTAATTCAGTGCAACTTTTAAGAAATAAGGCAGGCTCAAATTTCCAGAAGATAAATAATAATTATCCTCTTAATATTGTAGTTTTATTCCTGTAGAACACTTACATAGGGGAGTTTTCTAGTTTATGTAACAGTATTTTTACTCCATATAGATGAATCCAATTTTCTATTCTGTTCCTCTTGAAGTATTTAAAATTTTTAAAATGTGTGACAGAATAGATTAAAATAAGCTAATAGCATGCATACATCTATAATACCTTGTGTTGCTTGAAATTCTGTTAGCAGTAAGCCACTGCTGTAAAGAACAGAAAAGACAAGTCTAGTGAAATGTAAAAGTTCCTCTTAGTTATCAACAATATTTAAAGATCTCAATAATGAAATTTATTAAAAGCCTCCAGAACTGCAGCAAAGCTATTCCATTTGCACATCAGTGTAAACCTGATTATCTCAGTGCCATATACTGTGGATGAATGGCAATGGCAGTGCCAATAAAATTTGGCCATATAGAAAAAATGTTCACGCGAATCTTGAAAACCTGATCTTTTTCCAAGTATTTGCTACATTTTGAGCATGCTGCTGATTTCCAAGTGTTTTCTTTTTGCTTCATAAACAGAATCTACTATTTAGGAATCAAAACTGAACGGTGCCTCATACATTTAGCTTTCACATTTTAAGTATGACAGAAAAAAAAGCCATGTCAAGGAAAGATGTAACTAACTATAACATTCTTCATTATTAGTATTAATTTGAAATATAAAGTTGTCAAGCTCTTCTGTAATGTCCTGAGGCAAAAATGGAAAACTCAGACCCTCTGAAATTTC